ACTGAAGATTAATTCAATAGGCACAGCTAGAATAATGCACGTTGTTCAACGAGCGGGTAAGAGATGTACATCGGCGAGGAAGGGGGGCGGGGGGCACGGGTCGAACTGCACCGCCCAGAGACTCCCTTTCGATCATCGTTTGCCTTGCCTCTCTTTTTCTCGTCGCTTCCCCGTGTGTACTTACGTGATCGAATACGTAAGCAGCCGGCTTTCTGGTTCTTTTACCACGAATTCCTCGATTCCGCGCCGGTTCCGCCGCCCCACGATCCCCCCACGTTCGATCCGGATGAAAATCCGGATAGAATTCAAGTTATTTGCAGGGATATTTTAGCTCCGCCTGCGTGGAGTAACATCTCGATCTTTTCCCCCTCGTCTCCTCGTCGTTTCGCTCGCGATTGAATTTCCGAGCTATTTCCGTGACGATTAATAACGAGGCTGGGGAATCCCCCACTTCGGATGACGCGTTAATCGAGGGATTTTTAAGTACCGTTGGACAAATACGACGAGGAATTACGAAACAAGAATCACGAACGTGGAAAGTGAAACTTTGCCTACATATGTACACGAGGTGTTCAATTATAGGTAGGCATCCCTCGAGGGGGTTGATTCTACAGGTCAAAATGAGACGAAAATCAAGAGTGTCAAAATTGCATTGGAAACTTCGTTTTAAAGTTACAAAGAATTGAAAGTTCCGGGGCAGATACGCCTGATGCCAGGCAACCTGTGGACACAGTGGCGGCGGCGCGAAGCAAGTTCGTCCGAAAGAACGCGTATTTGCCCCATAACTGAAATATTTCCACAATTTTAACACTTTACCGACTGATAGTCGATTAATCGACTTTTTGTCCCCAACGTTCACCGACCGGTAACTGCTATGGTAACTAGCAAGTATTTGTTACTTTGAATTGAGATACAAGTTGCTTTGCTCTGTAAGCTATCGTATTTTTATACAATTTCCGGTGCCAGGGAGGATATGCTGCCGAGCGGCCGGTGAGAAAAGCATAGGATCTTGAACCGCTACCGGTCGGTAAAGTGTTAAAAAACGCATATATGTCGAGCATTACAACATTTTCTGTCTACTTCTGAAAATCTACAAAGGTATTCTAATTAAGACCCTCCTGACGAAGTATAAGGGGCAAGAAGAAAATATGGTAACTGCCACTCTACAATGATTAAACAAAAAATTAACAAGTGACAAATTCTAATCAGCGGACAGAATGCAAGGAATATATACGAGTTGCAACAAATGTTAAGACCGCGATGCTTGAAAGCTCGAAGTCAAGGACGAGGTCAAGACCTTTTATGTGAATAGTAACGCCGTGGAAAGCGTGAGAGCTCGTGGCGTTTATCCAATGAAGTACAGGAGGCCAACAATAAGGAGGGAGGATTTGAAAGGATTTAACTTTAAGCCATGCGAGGAAGGCCAATTTGAAATTCTAACTATGTCTAGTCGGTGTTCGCGAATCGCGCCGCGAATACTAAAGATGACAATAGACTGCAATATTTGCGTGACACCGGCGTAGATACGTATAATTCTGAGAGGATTCACGAATGCAAAGTGGATCTGCGATATACATGCTACGTGGAGGTGACCGTAATATTGATATCTATCATATCTCTCACATATTAAATATAATTAACTCGTTCACTGGCAACTGCGAGATGTCTCGTAGTTCAAATTGATTACTCAAGAAATCAGTTTACAGCCTTTTCAATCACGAATTACGGCATAAGAAGATCTTGAATTTTCTTTCTAAAACAACAAATTTAATATCACTTTTTATTATCGAAATATTATTTTCTGCACTTATTCGTGCACATGAAAGAAGACCAGTTTTTTTTCGAAAACTACACTCTTATTTATTTTTTCCATACTAATTTTAGTCCAAGTTGAGCTTAAAAATGAAATTACAAAAGTACGAGAAAAGAAGTAATTCAGCTTTGAAAGGATTAAAACAAACTCTTATTATTTCTATATCTCCCACAACTCGGCTCTGATGTACCACCCATCTCTCGCTTCTACTCACCCTAACACGCGCTAAATACCCTATTCCCTTCCCTTCCCCCATGCAAAGGACCCTAAAGCATAAGCAACCAGTCGCCAGAAAAAAAGGCACTCGTGTTCATCGTCGGCTCGGCACGAGAACACGGATGTTCGTGGGATCGAAAGGGGTAGGTGGGGCAGAGAACAGTGCGAGTCCGATCGAAGGAACGAGGGTTACATCGGCGAGATGCAGCTTCAATATTGATATGCCGGATTGGCTGGTGCCCGGCGGCGTACGGAGGAGATCAGAGAGATCCAGGCGGCAGAGCCTGGCTTACAAAGCACGCAAAGGATCGAGTGAAATTGGGCGAGATATTATTGAACACGCTCGCCCCCGTCGAACGGGGAAGGGAAAAGGACTGACTGCTGCGTTTCGATGCAGATCCTCTCTGAAAACGACTGCGTGCCGTCGAACTAACTCACCGACGAAGAATTTAGTCTGGAGCTTCGAGCGTTTTTTACCGAATGAGAAGGCACTCGAATAAGTGCGCGTGTTTGAGCTCCGGTCTCTTGACGGTTCGACGCTTGTCGAGGATATACTACGGAAATTCCTTTGGCGGAGGTGCGCCGTTTTCAGGTAACTTCGTTGAGAAATTGATATTCGTATCTCCGAGGAAAGTGGATGGGGCGTTTTGTGTATGCATCGACTTGTTGGGCTGTTTTAAATTACACAAAAGCGAAATGTTTAGTAGAGGAATGATGGTATACCATCTGTATGGAAAAGAAAAAATAGAAGATCTGAAGGAGCCGATGTAAGTATAGGAATATTTATGAATATTTCATTATTATTAACAAAGAAGAAGAACCGTAAGGTTTCCTCTTGGAATGTTCAACAAAAAGGACAATTATTGCCTTCAATTTTACTAGTAAATCTCTTATAATGCAATCTATATACACTTTCACGACTAAAAGTATAAACATTCTCAACAATACACTTGTTCCTTGACTGTAATACATTCTTCCAGCTGCCACACGTTTCGAACTAAGAAATACACTTTAAATTACATTTCTTGGAACCTCAGAATATTCCTGACAATATGAACAGTTCTCAAGGTAATAATGCACGATTCTCGCCTAATTGTTAACCCGTAGAGACAATTGCTAGTCGTACGAGGAGTGCCTCCACAAGTCCACGAGTCTATTATCATCCCCGACGGCTTCATAAGACGAGAAGTCAGAGACGTAGATAATGCCGGAGGGAGTAAGTCGTAGTTTACACGTGAAATCCAACCCGTATGCCGACGTAATCGAAATGAGACGGGGACCCCCATGTACCCCATGGACAGGATTGATGGACAGCCAGTGGTCCGTGACGTGACCACCTGACATTCTTGTCCGATCGGGCTGACATGCCCCAGGGATCATGCATGCGAGTTTCGTGCTCACGTAGCAAAACGTCTACTCCGATTTTCCGCCACCTACCCGCTGCGGATCCGAATCTGCGAGCTGAAATTGCGTCTAATGCCCCACAGCTACCATAATCTGAGCTCTGCACCGAACATCTCCAGGGTCTCGTTAATTGTGACTGAGTAATTCAAGGTGAAAGAAAAAGGTGAGAAATTTGGAGGATTTTAGATAACATGAGAAAGAAAGTTTATTTATTTATTATTCCAATAGGGTCATCTTTGTGCAATATTTTCAGAGTTTTAAATTTCCTCTAGGTATTAAGGATGTGTATTTTTTTTGTTAAAGATTGCAAGAGATTTATTTCAAATTTTAGTTGTAACTGGACGTTTTTATTTTGCAGGCTTTAATTGTGAACACTTGAAGTTGGTTGTTGTCTCGATAAAAAATATCAATGCCTTTGAAATGCCTTTATGATTCTTATTGCCATCTTCTTGCAATTCTTCAGCAATTAACTACTCGCCTACGGCAAGTATCGGGACTTTTTGCAAGCAAAGACGGGCGCGCAACACGGTAGATCCTTGCCACACTTCGCGCGCACGCCTGCTTGTTCGCACGTGCCGAGCAATTTTCCCATAACGCGAGAACTATGCGGCCAAGCAGAACAGGTCGAGCATCGAAACAGTCGCCGGCCGTGGCGTGATTTCGAGCGCACGAGAACCTCAGGGCCGACTCAAAGCGTGAACCTTAGAGGCTGGAATCTAAGGATCCACAGAAATTCGGTGCAAAGTTATCTTGTTCATGAATGATAATTAATAATTGCATTTCTCTGGAATCATTACAACCGAAGAACAATTTCCTTTGTCCATTTTTCTTATGGTCAAAAATGAGACATTCACAGTCCTTTTACTGAACAAAGAGGAGATTGATTTGGTTTATTAAAGTGCTTAGATGTTTTAACGTAACTATTGCACTGACAGAGAGGAGCTCTCGATCGATGTTGGTAACGCGGAGTACTGTATTGGCAATATTCTGTTGGTAACGCAGAATACCTTGTTGGTAACGCAGAGTACTATAGGTAGGACACTTTATCACAATAGTGGCAAGTGCTCTGCATTGTCGATGGAGTGCTCCACCTAACCGACAAGGTACTCTGTATTACCGACAAAACGTTCTACAGTGCCAATGGAGCGGTCTGCGTTACCAACACCCTATATTATCAGCAAAATAATTTTGTTGGTAACGTAGAACAACCTGTTGGTAACCTAGAGTACTCTTTAGGCCATGTAGAATATTTTATTGGTAACACAGGGCACTCTATCAGTACTCTATCGATACTGTAATTTATTCTATTAGCTGCATCTTCATTTCAAAAAGGAAACATCAACTAAAACATCCTACATCTCGTATCTGTAGCCCTGGGGTCCAGGAAATCTTAATGCGGCGTTGTCGAGGAGGCTCGAATCGCGGACGTTACTTTCGTCATGGCTCGGGCGCTCCGTTTACACGGAAATGCACGCGTGGGCGAGCGTGAAGCGCGCGTCGTGTCGTGTCGGTTCGCAAATCAGCAAACCGTGCGGAATGTCGAGCGACGGAACGTCACACGCAACACAACGCAACGCGCCACGCAACCAGCGAAATTGAAGCCGCGCCTCGCGAAATCGAACCCCGGGTGTTCGACGACCTGGCATTCCGCGACTCAATGAAACACGCCCATTGTTAAATGCGCCCCGGCGTTCGATTTCACGGTATTACTTTTATCCGCCAATCGAAACTATTTCATCGCGAAATTTTTTAGCGCGTATTTTAATTTTTTCAGCGGTATTCCGCTGCGAGGCATTCCTTCCATCGCGGCAACGAATATTTTATTGTTTATTCGTTTGCTTTTCATTGATAGGAACGACGGCGAGAAGTGCAGGCAGGTATGTATTTTCAGAGGGATGATATAAATGATTTCATTGGGGGTGGAATTTTAGTGTACATGTCTATGAAGTGTTGGAATTATGTTTTATTTGAAGGTTTGACGTTGTAGCAGGTCGAAAAGTAATGCTGACATTTAGAAACTTTCTTTCTCTAAATTTTAATTTATCCTTACGATGAGTATTAATGATTTAGTAATAAGAAAAAGAAGTTTGTTATCGACCAAATTAATAATAGAATTTCTGATAATATGTCTCGATTGATTCTGAAATGCAACATTTGCAAGTGTGGAAAAATAGTATTATAATTATAATCACCCAGTGTGGATTGTAATTATAATCATTAATCGTGTTTCCGCAGATGCGACCCCTATCCCTACGGAATTCTAGAAGTGGTCAATGTATGCACTGCGAATATATACGCGGCGTACCCATAAACCAGCATATATTTGTGAAACTGGACGCGAGTGTTTACTCCGTTTGATGCAATCCATGCGTTTAGAAACGGTTTACACAGGAAAAAATTAATACAACCAGGATCGATCACTCGGGGCTATACTCCTCGGTTACATGGCTTGTGGAATGTCCAACTCGAAAAACTGTTCGATTTCATGTTACAAATTAGGTAAATGTAACATGTGTTTATATAAATATATGTTTACAGATTTATATAAACTAATAATGATGGAGGAGTTCAATAAAGTAGTGGAATATTTAGTCGAGTTATACTAACGTTAATTTATATAATTACATAACGTATATTTCAGTTGGATTCTGAACTGCTTATTACTGAACTTATATTTCAGTTGAACTGACAATTTCATTTGGCACTCTGCTGGTAAATAGACAGCATTTTCAATGGAGTACTCTACATAATCGACAGGCTACTCTACATTATCAACAAAATAATCTACAGTCCCAATGGCGTTCTCTACATTACCAACAAGAGACTCTACATTATCAACAAAATATTCTACAATGCCAACGGAGTACTCTGCCTTACCACCATCGATCGTGATCTCTTCCTTATTCGATCAAAAGAACATGTAAATAATGAAGGCAATATACAGTGTATCCTCAAGATAACCATTAAAATTCTAAATAAACATTCATAGACTACCCTTTCAGACTACCCAATATTAATAATCATCAATGACCACCGTAACAGTCAACGTGTCAGGTTCGTTTTATTCCTCCCTAAATTTTAGAACTCGACCCCTTGGCGATCCCCATTGCACTCTGACACGCACTTTGCGCCCGGAGTCAGGAAGGGCAGCGGATCCATGGCAATGCGTCATCGAGCGACCAAACACCCTCCCCCGTCCCTCCGCGGCTACTCGAATCCTACCGTTTCCATTCGTAGACCGACACAACACACCGCACGTACAATTCGTCCCCGCCGTCGGCTGTCAGCGTAATTACACGTACGGGGACCATTAGACCAACGCGCGACGCTTACAAACGGCTCAAACCACCTACGAAATCGTCACTTTGTTCCGCAGTTAAATCATGCCAAGCCCGATCCGACGCGCGTGCAGATGCATCCGCCGCGCGCTTTGTCTCAATCGCTGCGCCATGCGGACACCGACGGCCGACATTAATCCTCCGCCATCGACAGAATAGACAAACATGCAAATGAGAGAATGTCGCTTTGCTCTAGGGCCTAGGCTTCGCACTTGCCTCACAATAACGCAGGGGAGGTGGTAAGAAAATAGTATGCGATTGTGATCTGGTCGCGATCGAGTGACGTTGGTAGTTCTGAGGCAAAAGGCAATGGTGGGGAGGGTTAAAGTACTATATCAAGTGAGAGCACGTTATCATTGCGATAGAAAGTGCTCTGTACTATTGATAGAGTACTCTATGTAACCAACAAGGTATTCTGTATTATCGATCAAATATTCTACAGTACCAATGGAGTGCTCTACGTTATCAACAAGACACCCTACATTATCAACGGAATATTTTACTCTGCCGACAGAGTACTCTCCCTTACCAACGAGACACTCTACGTTATCGATGGTGACCTTCTCAAGGAAACGTGCGAATAAAAGAGTCGATGTACAGTGAATTCTAAAGGTATCCATTAAAATTGTAAATAAATCATCCAATGCAACCTAATCACAAGGTTAATAGATATTACCAACCAAGACCACTTTCAATACCAGACTATTTCAAACAAAATAACTCTTCCCTGAAGAGCTCAAGTCCTGTTTACAATCTATAGGAGCAGTTTGACCTACCAATATCGCGATCTATGCCACGAGACGCGTCGACAAGTCCACGTTGGTTATGGAAGATGCTAAAAATTTCTCACTTGGTAATAAAACACTTGGTCGAGTCGCGGACACTTTGGTAACGTTTCCTAGTTTCCCGAGACGCATGGCGAAAGTTGGTCTCGCCATGCAGCCTCGAGTATCAAACTTTTCGGAATCTTCGCTCTCGGCGAGAGTGTCTCGATGGTCGGCTGCAGATGTACCTAACTGCGCTACGGGGCGTATTCATTATCGGGCCGCCGGAACTCAGGTTGCTGAGACGATTAAACAGGGAATGGGAGGATCCTCCAATGATTGGCTACACGGGGAACATTCAACGTCTACGGTTTTATCGGTCTATCACTCTCCCTTGGCATATTCGGCCTGCAACCGTGTTCCCATCCCCGCTGTGCTATTTTATTCGCGGTGCACGATCGTTCGACTACGAATGAGGAGGTTTGAGAGCTAGGAGCATCCTTCAGGCTGCATGATCTTCAGGTCTTTTGTGGGAATCTTCGAGTGGTGGTCGATAAGAATTTAGATTGTAGCGATTGTTTAAATCGATCAAATAATTTTTATTATGCTATTGGCAAATATTCTTTTACTCTAAAATGGAATTAGAAATCTATTCACACCGAAAAATAAATTTCTACCCTAATCATGATTTCGGAATAGGAATTCCTAAACGCTCTGTCCAAAAAATATTCTCGATCATATGTAAATTAGTTAATTATATACACGTTGATTCTCCTATTGAGAAATATTCTTTTACTCAAGAATAGAATTAGATATCTATTCTCACCGAAAAATAAATTAGGTTTTCTAATGAATACTCATATACAAGTTACCTAATTATATACATGTTGAATCTCCTACTCAAAAATAAATCTTTCCTCTAACTAGACTCCCAAAATAGAAATCTCCCACTCCCCCATTTAGTATGCATCACGCGTCTAATATAACAGAACTAAAATTCAAAAACTGTTTAACATCAATATTACCTTCGTAGACACGCGATACCAGGGTTCAGACACTCGTCGATTGAATTGAAAGATGATTCCCAATTAAGGACGGAGCTTCTCGAAAAGCCTGCCCGCTGCAGGGGCGTGGGTTGTTAAGTCTACGTAGCGCTGGTTGGAACGCGAAACCTATCGTGCACCGAGAACAGATAATCCAGCGCAATTCGACCAAAATGTATCCACACGTCACGAGGAATGCAATTACTGATTGACGTCAGTCAGGTGCTTCTGAAGCGTGTTCATCATGTCTCGGATTTATAACCGTCAGCCAACCGGTTGATGCGGTATTCAGCGATCCTTAGGAACAGAAATCGCTCACTGACGAAATTAATCAAAAAAAATATGGGAAGTTCTCTGCATCTCGACTTGTAGTTTTCTTTGGAAAATTAGGGAAATTAAAACACTACACTTCTGATTAATGGAACAGCTACTCATAGGAACGTTTTCAAACGGAAACGTATTATCATACAGTACGAATGACTGAATGTGTAATTTTTATGATGGTTAAAATTTGGCAGGTTGTAATTTCAGGTCTTTTTTGGTTACTGTACTCTAACCACGTTCATTTAGAATCTAGATTAGATCTAACATAATTTCTTGAACGTTATAAATGTTTGAAATATTTATTTTTTGTCATAGCTTCCTTGTTTTATCCATATAATCTAATTTAATGCTACACTAACATTTACTTAATCTTCCACGTTTTTGTTCTGTAAGTAATTTTCACTTTACTCATCAAAAGAAAAAATATTCTAAAGAAATCGTCGCTGTATAATTTGCAAATTTCTTTCTCTTTCTCTCTACCGCATAAATCATCCTACTTTAATTATTCTAATTAAATAACCACGAAAGTTCCATCATAAATATACATACACACTGGAGGGTGTTTCGACGAAACTCTGAGGGCTTCCCAAATACGCACGTAGTGAGACACCATGGAGGTCTTAGTCTCCTTTCCCAAAAAGTCGAAGAGGTCTTTAGAATATTTCCCCCGCGGAACCAAAATAAAAAAATCATAAATATACAAGGTACACTACTCCCAATAATTTAATATCGATACACGTCAAACTAAAGTGCCCGGTGAATCGTCGATCCAGAAAACATCGCAGAGGTCACGTTCGTATCGTAAACCTAATTCTGGTCGCAACCCTTAACACGGGGTATCGTGTCCAAGACGATAAACCGATTACAGACTGTGTCGTTCCTTTTATTTCACCCTCTTTTCCCTCCCTGTTTTTTTTTCTTTTTTTTTTTGTTAGAACTTATGGCTTGTACACACTTCCGCGTCGACGCGTCAAATGCAGCATTGTTCACACAATGAAAACTGTTCGTGACTTATAGTTCCACAGGCAACGTTGCCTTCACTTAAGCCCAGCGCATTCGTACGTACACACGAGTTTGTGCATTGCATAAATCCTGGCACAGATGATATACGAGCGCGAGGCTTCCAACTATTTGCCTGACCAGCCTAGCTTGGCACTCACGTGCGAGTAATATACACCGAAGACTTTCCCTACGTTTGTCGAGGTCCTCTGGGTATTCTAGAAGGATTCCAACAGCGTTTTGGGGACTTTTGATTATTTACTTTTACAGGTGTGTGCTTGATAAGACATTAGACGTTGTTGAGGTAACCTTATGTTAATGGTCATACAATTTTTATTATTATTTCTATTTATTATTATCTTATTATTAGTATTTTAATTGATAGATGCTGGAAATTTTCTGGCAGAAAAGAGTTGAAATATATTTATTGTGTTTTAAGTTTTAACTTTGAGAGATCTTCAGAAACTGAAGTACAAACCGATACACCAATCAAATTTAAATTTGAATTTACTAATAATGAATTTATTATATAGGGGTGCCAATAGTGTTCCAAGATTTATGTAGCACTTGCGTGTCACTTTTTTAATTGGTTGTAAGATATATACATAATTATTTTGTGTTTTTAAAAACAAATAACCTGTCTTGGATTCCTAAACCTTGTTTATTGATATGTCTCAACAAACTTATGAAAAGGGAAGAGAAACCCTTGCTGAACAATCATAATTGTATTTCTGGAAGAATTGTGATTGATCTATACAATTTTGTTTTACCTTTAAAAATAAACATCTTCCTTAGATATCCTGTGTAACTATCGATACATCAATAAAGAAAAAAGAACCACCCCTAAACCACCTTTTAAAATTGAGTTCTCCAACCTTCAATGTCCCACTCTATATAGATCTCAATCGTCAAACAATAAAAGAAGAATCATCCCTAAACAATCACAATTGCAACCCCAGAAGAACAATTATAATTTATCCATAAAATTTTCATCAGTCTTTAAAACTAATTTCTCCGCATGACCAACCTTGAATTCAATTAACCCCGTCCTGGACACATCTCAACCCTCAAAACAACGAAAGAATAACCTCCCCTAAACAGTCACGATCGCAATCGCAGAAGACCAATCATAATTCACCTGTCCAACCCTCTCCAATCCAGGTGACAGGTTCCAACCGCCCTCTCTGCACCCCTCAAAAAATATCCCCGTAGAAGTCGCAGCCTCTTCACGCAACAATGGCGCTCATTAAGTGGTAGCAAACGAAAGAGGGGTTCGTCGAAGCGAGCACACCTAAATAGCAGCAAACGATGAAACAGTAGCTCGTCAATGGAAGTTTGATTTTCTCCGGAGTCCCGTATTGGCCGTGCAC